ACCAGGTGACCAGCTGGTACCAGGTGACCAGCTTGTACCAGCATTAGTTCCTAGAATATTCATTCATTTGGTCCCAAAATAAAAGCGTGATTGAAGAAAAATCCTCTGTTTGTCGTGGGTGATGAAAACCCACACCTGTCTGTTTGTTCTGTTTGAACAGTAGCATTAGCATTAGCATTAGCATTAGCCATGACTCAGTCCAGATAATCACAGCCGTTTTCTTATCGACTGCCACAGGGAACAGAGAATATAAACACAGTCCAGGAAAGAATGTTTTTAATTGATTCTGACTTCACCTTCATAGTTGGGGCAGTGGTGGCTTAGTGGTTAAGGAAGTGAACTTGGGTCCAGGGTTTCAGGTTCGAGTCCATGGCACCCTCCCCACACACTGCTCCCTGAACAGAACAGACAGGAAACAGTTGACCTATAACTTGACCAGTAGGTGTGATCTGGTTTGATCTGGTTTGACAGCTGTTTGTGTCGGTCTTTCAGAAAGCAACAGCTCCACCATGGAGGAGGACCAGTGCTACTACAACGAGACCATCGCCTTCTTCTACAACCGCAGTGGCAAGTACCTTGCCACAGACTGGAACACGGTCAGTCGGCTGGTGATGGGCCTGGGAATCACCGTGTGCATCTTCATCATGCTCGCCAACCTCCTGGTGATGATCGCCATCTACGTGAACAGGAGATTCCACTTCCCCATCTACTACCTGATGGCCAACCTGGCGGCCGCCGACTTCTTTGCTGGACTGGCCTACTTCTACTTGATGTTCAACACGGGGCCAAACACGCGGCGTCTCACCGTTTCCACGTGGCTGCTGCGTCAGGGTTTGATCGACACCAGCTTGACGGCGTCAGTGGCCAATCTCTTAGCCATCGCCATCGAGCGCCATATCACCGTGTTCCGTATGCAGCTGCACACACGCATGAGCAACCGGCGTGTGGTGGTGGTGATTGTCATCATCTGGACCATGTCCATAGTCATGGGCGCCATCCCCAGTGTGGGCTGGAACTGTATCTGCAGTCTAAGGTCGTGTTCCAACATGGCTCCACTCTACAGCAACTCCTACCTGGTGTTCTGGGCGGTCTTCAACCTGGTGACGTTCGTGGTCATGGTCACACTCTACGCACACATCTTCATGTACGTGCGACAGAGGACCATGAGGATGTCACGGCACAGCTCTGGGAGCCGGCGGAATCGGGATACGATGATGTCGCTGCTAAAAACCGTAGCCATCGTCCTAGGTGAGTCTTTGTAGTCTCTGTAGTCTCTGTAGTCTCTGAAGTCTCTGAAGTCTCTGAAGTCTCTGTAGTCTCTGAAGTCTCTGAAGTCTCTGAAGTCTCTGTAGTCTCTGAGTCTCTGAGTCTCTGAAGTCTCTGTAGTCTTTGTAGTCTCTGAAGTCTCTGAAGTCTCTG